ATACAAGGATCATCCAGTGAACACAACGTGTCCTCCTATCTTCGTGTCTTTTTAAGTCTCGAAAATCAATTTTCATTCATGTGGGGGATTGTTGGAAAAATGTGTGAAAAATTGCATTAAATGGCTATTTTGGGGCAACTTTTTGAGTGGGGTCCACTTCCGATTTGGGTCGGGTCAAAGTGGTTTCGGATTGTCCTTGTTAAGGGCTACAATTCGATATATGGTACGCTCAAAACGGATAACGGGTGAATGAGAAATCGCTTTTCGAAGTTTACCCGTTAGAATGGAAAAACTGGGAAAAAGGATGGGTTTCTAGTGTGTTAATTTCCCACACCGGAAAACCCAAGGGATTTGCAACCCTTTATAAAGGGACTCTCCCCTTAAGGAGTTAAGATTCCTAAGGGTAAAGGCTCTCTCCACGCGCGCAGGGGGGGTGCAAATCAAATCCCGAATTCGGAGAAGAAAAACCGCGACTTGCGTGCGCGGGCGACCTGCGGACACGAATGTCGTCCAAAAATCCATCTCTCAAGAGATACGGGTAATTTTTGTTTTTCCTTCGGGGGGGCAGAGTTGCTCCGGTTCTGATGACCGCGCATCAGAACTGCTCCAGTTCTGATGGCCTTCGGGCAGAACTACGTAGGGGTCTTCTGATGGCTTCTGAACCGTTACAGCAATAAATGTCCAACGTTTATATCTTTTAATGCAGTGTTAAATGGACAGTTCATGGACAATTCAATGCCCAACGGACTGGTCATTGATGTCCAACGTTCAGGTCCATTAATTCACTATTTTCATACAACAAATCCTCCTATATAAGGGCTGGCAGGTGGTTTGCAACAACACAGGTTCTTACACAAATCCATACACGTTTTAGCTCTAAAAACACACTGCTAGCATTCTGAAAAATTCCTCTGTGTTCATACTGTGTTCTCGTTCGCTGGAACTTTTGTTTGTGTGCTCAAACATTAGTTCGTAGTCATTGTATCCTGGGAAACGATTGTTGCAACGCTCCTAGCACCGGGGGAGGCAACAAATACGTTTTAAGGACATCGTGCGTAGCACGAGCTTTGACTAATTCTGCTTCATCTCCTTTCTTGTTTTTCTCTAGTCATTTTATTTAATTAATTTATTTTAATTAATTTTCTTTATTTTCCGAAACACACCCAACATCAACTTCAAAAAATGATTTGAATGCCTTCCCGATCGAATTTTGAGCTGAACTTTGGTACGGACAAACTATACTTGATGAGGAACATGCTCAAAAAAATTTATCAAAAAATTCCACCGGGAAGGTGCCCAAACGGGCTCGGCCGGACGGAGCATCCCGTCAGGCCGGCCTGACAAGAAGACCACTCTATATATATATATATATATATATATATATATATATATAATAAAGATCAAATGAGGGCTGAAACTTCGGTAAAGCATGCTTTTTCTTTAAGTTTTGCTCAAATCCCAGGTTTGCGACGGTTTGATGATCAACTGAACCGGCGTGATGGGCGGGTGGTCGGCTCTTACAACATAGGTTTGATGAGATTTTTGCACTATTTACACACCTCACTTTGACTACGATTTTCGAATAATACATATAATCCAATTATAATGTATAAAATGTTATTAAATTTCTATTAATGTAAATTTCCAAAATATTATTTTCTTTTAATTTTTACGAATACGTAATTAAATATGTTTACAGTCAAAGTTGTGTGTTGGCAAACGTGAAAGTCAAACTGTTAGTTGCAACTTTTAAAGAACGGAGGATAGTATGTTAAACTGGTGAGTTATTCGTTTAACTTCAAGCATAATATCATGGTCCATTTCACATAAGCCTAATCAAATCATCTTGACTAATCTTAATTTCCTTTAAACATAATTGTGAACACATATACGTAGTAGAATTTATTTAGGTAATCTCAAATAGTCATACTTAACCCAAAAGTTACAAAACATTAAGCCGTCCACTCATCTCAAATGAGTTTTAACGCGTTCTACCCTTCTCGGTTGAACTCCGGCGAATTTTGTCTAACTCCGGTGATTACTACTGTGACTCTTTCAACTCTGTGAAAGCTCTAGAAATTACCTTAGACAAGTTCCTAACATAGATTTAACATCATAAAACCCATGATCGAGCTCATGATTAGAGGATTTATTTCTGGTCTTTGGTTTTGTCCGGTAGTGACGATTCTTCTGTTGACCTCGCATCAGTGGTACAGGTCGGAGCCAGCACCGACCTCGGCGTGCCCGAGGTCGGCCTCATAGTTTGTCTTATCTGGGCGATCCCCGAGCTCGATGTTCGTACCGACCTCAGAGGGTAAGGAAATTTAGCAATGGAATCAATAAAATGTTAAATAAATGAAAACATATGGAATTTTAAGCCCTAGATTGATAGTCTTCAATCATGGGGACCCTATACGGACACATTTCATCTTTCAGGTCCCAAATGACAGGAGCGGACCTATTATAGGTCAAAGGTGTTCATGTGAACACCCAAATTTTATAACTAGTAGTGTAAAAATACATGTATATGGGTGCTATTGTAAAATTTTCTATATGAACACCCAAATTTTATAAAATAAATTTGAACCTTCAAAATTAACATCCAAGATCCGCCACTGCCAAATAGATATGTAATTCATTATTCTTCCGGTTCTAAATTCATAAAACTTCAAAAAGAAGAGATGAGTTGAGATTTCAATATGTAGAAATGAGTGAAATGGTAACATCATGAGTTTATCATGAGTTTTGCGTCACTGCATGACTAATATCTATACATGAACTGCTTTTAATTATTAGTTGGGAAAAGGTACAAATATACCCCGTAGTATGGGTGTGGGAACAAATATACTCTTGTTCTATTTTTCGGAACAAATATACCCCTGAACTTTTAAAAAGGTGCAAAAATATCCCTCATGTTCTTATAAAGGGGCAAATTAATCCTTATTAACTTTAAATTAATAAAATAAATTTCAAAAAACACCATATATAAATTATAAATTCGAAATTTAAAAAATAAAATAAAAATGTAAGTGTCTAATTCTCCCTTTTATAGTTTTTATATCACAATTTAATATTGTTTAAACATGAAATATTATTTCAAAATTTTACTATATGTTTAAGATTCGTTCGAAAAGGTGCAACATATGTTTTGCAATGTAGAGAAAATTAATTTTTTGCATTCTTTGCACTATAAGGTGCTGTTCTGTTCGTCTTATTCTTATTACTTATTGCTTATTCTTATTTTATTCAAATCAGATCAGATCAGGTCAGATCAGATCAGATCAGAAAGATTCAGATCAGATCAGAAAGATTCAGATCAGATCAGACCAGATCAGAAACATTCAGATCAGATCAGAAACATTCAGATCAGATCAGATCAGAAAAGTTCAAACATGATTTATCATTTTTATTATTATATTAAATATTAATTATTATTATTAATATTGTTATTACTATTATGATTATTATATAATTATTATTAATAATATAAATAATAATATGATAAAAAAAGATATTAATAATAGTTATAATATTTTAATATAATAATAGTAATATAAATGCAATTGTTAAGAAGACTATTATTATTATTATTACAATATTATAATAATAATAATATGATTAATATTATTATAATATTATATTATAATTATATGTAAGTATAATTATAATTACAATTATAATTCTTATAATTATAAGTATAATCAATTGTAATTATTATAATTATATCTATAATTAATTATAAATATAATTGTAATTAATGATAATTATAATAATTATAATTATAATTACAATCATAATTATAATTATGATTATAATTATAATTATAATATAATATTAAAATAATATAATACTAATTATAATTATAATCATATTATTATATTATTGTAATAATAATATTATTATATTATTGTAATAATAATATTAATATAATAATATCGTTATAATAATATTAATTGTATTTATATAACTATTATTAAATTATAATATTATAATTAATGTTAATATAATTATAATTATTATTAATTATAATTATAACAATTATAATTATACTTATAATTATATTATAATTATAATTTATGATTATAATTATTATTTTTATTATAATTATTAATATTATTATTATTACTATTGTAATTATTTTACGGAGTAATTATAATAATATTGATAACTATAGTTACAATTATAGAGATAAATATTGTAATTATAATTACAATTATAATTATAATTTTATTTAAATTATATTTGTAATTGCAATTATAATAATTATAATTATTCGAATCAGATCAGAAAGATTCAGATCAGATCAGAAGGATTCAGATCAGATCAGAAACATTCAGATCAGATCAGACCAGATCAGAAACATTCAGATCAGATCAGAAAGATTCAGATCAGATCAGATCAGATCAGAAAGATTCAGATCAGATCAGATCAGATCAGAAAGATTCAGATCAGATCAGATCAAATCAGACAGATTCATATCAGATCAGATCAGAAAAATTCAGATCAGATCAGATCAGAACTTAATAAATTCAGATCAGAAACATTCAGATCAGGCGAAGAGAACAGCTTCTAAAATTACTTATTTTGAAATAATATTTTATACTTAAAATATTAAATTGTGATATAAAAACAATAAAGGGAGAAATGGACACATTTACATTTTTAAAATTTTTATTTTAAATTTTGATTTGTTAATTTATTTGTGGTCTTTTTTTGAAATTTATTTGATTAATTTAAAGTCAATAAGGATTAAATTGCTCCTTTATAAAAAAAATGAGGGATATTTTTGCACCTTTTTAAAAGTTCAGGGGTATATTTGTTCCGAAAAATAGAACAGGAATATATTTGTTCCTCCACCTATACTACAGGGGTATATATGTACCTTTTCCCTTATTAGTTTATACTCCATAATATAATGTGTTGCGTCACCGCATGCCTAATATCTAATATTGGAAAAAGTGACATTTAATTTACACATTTACGCCTATATATATCGATCATGTCATATCATCTAAAAGAGAAGTACGTAAAATAATAGGTCAAAATGAAAATACATTATAGTATTACCCTATTGTTATTTGTGATTAGAGTGGTAAGCATAACGACGTTTATGTGTGTTGATAATATTGCGCCAGCGGCAGGGCGGGGGATGAATGGAACTGCTGAAGTAGAAGATGAGCATGCTTCCAATTCCATAGCCGCTGCATCTAATTGGACACAGCTGCAGCCTTCTCCATCATCATCATCCTCGTCTGATCATGGTGGTTATAAGACGAGTTCCGGAGCAACAACATCTCGCCTAATTTTACTCTGTATATGTCTAGGTATCGGGATCATTGCAGGGTTTGTGATTTGTTGGTGTACAAACTGGTGCAGGGCCTGCAGGCGGTGAACGACGACGACTTATGAGGAGTTATACGTGTAATTAGAATTGGTTTTATTTTTGCTTCTTCTTTCTTAAAAGCAAGAGTGAAATTAGAATTGGGAAAAGTTTCCTAGAAACTGATTTTCTCGATCTAACTTCTAAAAACGGCTTTAGAAGCAACTTAGGGGGAGCACTTAAATACTTCTGCCTTTAACTCAAACACTCTGTATCTGATTCTACTTCCTAAATGAGCAGAAGTAAAGTTTCAATTTTAAGAAGTAAATCCGAACACACTTAACTAGAGAAGCCTATATCGTACAGCCGGCTGTACGGTGAGCATCGTACAGCCGGTGGCATTTTTGTAATTTATATGAAATTCGCGTCTTGCACTAAATGAGCATTAAAGCACAACTAATGAGCATGAGACATATTTTGTTGAGCATTAAAAGCATAACAATGAGCATCGTGATCTCTGCTCCATCTTTTCAAATTTACTTTCTTTTCCTTATTTTTTTCTTTATAAAAACTCATTAAGTATATCTATAATCAACTCTTATGAACTTCAGTATGCGAATTTAATGCAATATGATACTTTTGAAATATGCATTGTTATGCCATTTTACAAATGAGCATAACATGAATACCCGCTGATCTTAATAACTTATAAAATGAGAATTGATATGAAAATCTTAAGTACTTTAATTGAACATCAAGACGTTTTCATTGAGCATTAACTTGAAATTACTTGAAATTATAAGCACCAATGATTTTCATTATGTGATTGTGATGAGTATCAAGTCTGTTCTTTTGGGTATTAGGGGTCTAACAATGAGCACCAGTGATTTGTGCTTCATATCTTCAAATTCAATTTCTTTTTAATATTTTTTCATTTATTATTTCAGTATCTGAATCCAATATAGTATGATGCGTTTGAAATGTGAAACATTTTTAAATGAGCATAAAACAGTATCAAATGAGCATACATAACTTACAAAATGAGTATCAAAAGATTTAAAAACTCATTTGTCTGTGCTCATTCATTTTGGGCGTTATACTCATTTGAGTTTAACATAAAACTCATTTTGAAGTGTGCATGAATATGACATTTTAAAATGAGTACTGCATTAATATCAAACGAGTATACATAATTACGAAATGAGCATTAAAAAATTCATTTGAAATGCCTAAGCTACCATGCTCATAATTTCAATTCTAATTCAATCAATACTATAGTATTAAAATTTTCTTATGCATTTTGTGAAGACGATGCTAAAGTACAATTTTTTTAATATAAAAGTAGCCGACATAAACATTAGGCACTGCAGTCTTTACAACATGTGCGATATGGGAAGGTAAATAGTCTGAAGGTCAAAGGTGTGCGGTCCTTGAAGCTCTTCTTGGATTCCACTTCTCCTCTACCTTGATCGATTCCCTCTACTTTGATGAAGCGCCTGGCGAAGACCTCTCCCACAACTGCAGCAGCTTTGCGACTACCCTACCGTCGTTCTGGACTTTTGGCTACCGCCATTCGTATTTGGAAACGCTGAATCCAAGGCCAAGGAGAACCGGAGAAGGCAACGAATTAAGCGGAGGACTGAACTGAACAGTGGTGGTTGCCGAAGGATCTATCAGGCTTGAGGTTGAATTTAATTTCAAAAATACCCGGCTGTACGGTGCTCACCGTACAGCCGGTGGTACGGTATAATTTTGTAAGCAAATTAATTAAATGCCCAGCCCGCTAGATCTCAAACTGTTTGTTGCTTGGGCCCTATTGCATCGCGTCAGGAGTCACGACCATAGATGAGGGTGTGCAATAAGTGCTACCGCACAAGGCCTCTCGCTTCAGAAGCCCAACATTTTAGATCTAGTCTATGTGATATACAAAATCCTTATTTATTTGATAAAAGATTCTTGTCTTAGTACTTCTTTAAATACAAACATCAAACAGTAATATTTATATGTAATTAAAATGCAATTGTTAATTACAATGGTGCAATTTGTGGGATGAGTTTGCATACTATCCTCCGTTTTTTTAATAGCAACATGTTGAATTTTACACTATTCACATATTCTATTTTGACTACATTTTACGGTATTACTTTACGAAAATTATATTTTTTCAAGAATATTGTTCAATTCATCTCATTACAAATTTTCAAAATCTAATTTTTAATTATTTTTTACTAATAGAGATTAAGGTATAATTACGGTCAAAGACGTGAGTTGGCAAGTGTGAAATATTGACCGTTGCAACTACAAAAGAACGGAAGAAGTATTACTTTGTCTTTCGTACTTTATCATTACTTTACTCTTCTTAACATATTCACTTTCCTACTTTTTCATTTACCTTACACCTCTATATATACTATCCCTACTATTTTCTTCTTAAAAATCACAAAAAAAAAACTAAGGACACTATTTATACTTCAGGACCTAATATTCAATTTTGAACGCGGCTCTTTATATACAGGGTCGGCCCTGCATCGCCTATACTATACATTAATACATATATACTCCGTATTTATCTATCTATCTATCTATCTATCTATGCCTAAGAAACATTTCCACAAGTGTTCAGTTCTAAATTTTGCCTCAATGTTTTATTTTCGACTATATATATCTTGTATCCAATGAACAGAATGATTTTTGGTACTGTATATTCCAATAAAGACCAATGTTAAAGTATGTACCATTGTACACGGAGTGATATATAATAGCCAACTACCAGGATAAATAATAACCGATGAAGTTTAATCCAACTACGAGAGCTATATTTACGAGACTAGATGAAATTTAGGCAGCGTAAGACAGTATTATTATTCCGGAATTCGGATCCTTGGAGGAAATCAATATATTAAATGCTATTAATTGACAAAGAGTCTGTAACGTCCCGAACGTTGTGTAATGATTGTTTCCCTCAGGTCCACGTTTCTCCCGTTATTCATGTCACTGCCAGGTAGTTAAGCTCATATGATACCCTCACTAGAACTCCTCCCAGGCTCGAGGTCTGATATCCAGCTCGGCCTGGTTGTGGGTTCCTTTCGTGGGTCTGATTCCTAACCAGGCCTAACGGCTAATTATTATTATTATTAATTCTAATTAAAGGGTTGATCCCGTCGATCGGCTGATCCTGTTTATGAATTTTTATTTTAATTCAGTCTTTGATCCATGGTCGTCATCCATGGTACCATCACCATGCATTTGGGAACTTTGAGTCTTTTGAGGAAAATAGAAGGCCACATACTCCCTCCGTCCCATTGGACTTTGCCAACTTTCCCTTTTTGGTTGTCCCAAAAAACTTTGTCATTTTCCTATTAAAACAACTAATTTATGGTTCTGCACATTTCTCTCTCCTCTGCACAAATCTCAACCACACAGTTTTTACTATTCTTATTTCTCACCTACTTTGCACTTGGCAAAGTCTACCGGGACCGAGGTAATATGCGTTACTAGGCCAGCAAATTGAAACTTTAAATAAGAAAAGAGAAAGTAAAGTTAAAAGAAATATACTCCGTACTAAGTTATAATTAATGCACTGCTCCTTGAATCCATGATAGTCGTCTATTCATTAAGAAGAAAAAAGACTTTTATTGTTGTACACACTTTTATACACATTTGTGTAGACAAAACATCTTTTGTCTGTGACAGATAAAAAAACTTTTACTGACGTGTACAACAAGAATTGTTGATTCACGAACGGATGAACCCCAGACACGCGCAACTTTAAGACATTCTCTAATTCACATACAAACCATTTTTATTTGTACACGGGTTATTCACAGACAAAAACATAGTTATTTACTACTCCCTCCGTCCCGAAAACAACTTCCCACTTTCCTTAAATGGATGTCCCAAAATTAACTTCACACTTCAATACTTTCCTTATTTGGCAAATTATCTACATCAAAAAAGTGATAAACAGTGCCAAACAGTGTTTAAACAGTGCAAAACAGTGCATTCTACAGTAAAGTCAAATTTATTTCCTAAAAGTGTGTGAAAGTCCAACCGGGAAGTTGTTTTCAGGACGGAGGGAGTATATGTGTAAGATGATGTGTATAAAAAAGTGTGTACATTTTTGTTTTTCAAAAATATGCACAAAAAGAATACTACCTACCCGGTATATGAATGCTGGCAAGTCCAATACCCTACGGTCCTTACTAAGACTCAGGGTCGTCTAATGAATTTGGAGGCCCCGGTTCTAAATGACGAATTGAGACTTTCTAAAACAACAAACAATATAAATTTTAAAAATGAAATACAAATAGACTAGATAGTTAAGTGAAATATAAATTCTATGATGTCTAAGATACACAATTAGACAATTCATAAGTTTTTTTTTAACGAAACTGGCTTCACTTATCATTGCCAAACGGACCAAACCAAAACAGGTTACAAAGCGACAACAAGTCTCATGTCTACCGTCCGCCCAAGGATCAGACAATCACCTCCGTAGAAGCCATATAATTCGTTGATCCCGCTTTGGGCTTACCTAAGCCTATTATGACTTGCAGACACGACTCATCATCCCCTGTCTTAGTTTCACAAGTTTTTTTGCTGGAAAAACATAGCACAACCAAAACAAAAAAAACATCCAAAACACAGGAAATATTCAAAGCAAAACAAAACGAGTAAATAAGTTTCTCAGCTAGTAAGGCCGTAGCCAACATCAGGTCATCCGGTGGGGCTGGAGTCGAGCGCCCGCCCCAACCCCTTTTTTTGAGAAGTCCAGCACTTTAATATTCTTTGCAGCTTCCTCCCTGGCCTGATCCTCCCGGGCTGAGGTTTCTAGTGCCATCTCCTCACTTGTCTGGACCTCTTCCACGGGTTCTTTCCAAATCCTCCTTCTCTTCTGGTCTCCTGCATCCTCCTTGCTATTGCCTGGGGCCATGCGGTCCTCTCCTGTATTAAAAATTCCATCTTGATAGCTTTGCTGCATCCCCTACCTCCCATGCCCGTCCTGTCATTATCTGAATTTCCATCCCCTTTCTGTACCAACCGCTTATTCCCCCATGTTGGGCGGAATCTCCCCCTTCCAGCTCTAAGATCTGGACCGAACGGATTAACCAACCCCTTTAACCCTTGCCCATATACCAATGGGCAGTATCTCTCTGCGTGATCACTAATCCCACAGGCGAAACAAAAACGAGGCAATTTCTCATATTTAAAGTCCACTCAGAACTCCCTATTAGCCGCTCGAAGTTTTGTCCCTTTCTGAAGAGGTTCACATATATCTAGGCTAATTATGATTCTCAAATAAACACTGCAACTACCCTCTATCTGATTTTCATCCAGTTGAACGAATTTACCTAGATAATTCCCAATTCTCTTTGCCGTTTTTAGGGTCATAAACCCATAAGGCACATTATGAACCTGAATCCAAAAATCGGTCATAGTCAAAGGAACCCTAAGTGGAATATCCCCTGGCTTGATCTCACGTAATACTAGCAGGTTTAGTTCAAAGTGCCATGGACCATTTCCTAGGACCTATTTCATATCAACTGCATGATAAAATGTAAACAAATACCTGCGCTCCCCAAGTTCTTGAATCAGAACACCTCTACCAGGCCGCCAAACAGAGGCCATAACATTCTTGAAAAGCTGAAACTTCACCATTTTGTCCGTGATTAGAGTACCAACCACCGGAAAAGCCGTTTGAGCACCTTCACCCTCGCATCATTGCCCTCATCATCAAAACCCAGACCTTCCCCATCACCCTCCACTGTTATGTAGTCATCTTGGCTGGTAAAAATTTGCATTTTTGTTTATAATTTAAGCTATATACTCACCATGTCTCTCTTTCTTTTCTCTGAGTTAAATTAATCACTTCAACCTCCAGGCCGATCTTACAAATTCATGAGGCCCATTATTTAAAGCGAAAACAAATTCCACCGGTTCAAAATTCAAATTAAAATTCAGATGAGCCACACAATCTAATACTACGTAACTGTTGAGGTTTAGTCATGTAGATCCGAAAGCCCAACATAAACTTTAATTTGGATATTAAGGACGATGAATTTGGTATAAAAATAAAGAATATAAATATAAAAGTGTAAGAACTAACTATTTTTACGTGGAAACCCGGAAAGGGAGAAAACCACGGGACTTTTTAGACTAACCTCCAAGCCCGCTCTTTCTCATTAACAGGCTCTCCTCACCATTTTACATAGTACAAGTATTGCACTCCATTAATGGAGGTTGAAGAAGCTTGCTAATCACTAAGAGAGAAGAAGTAATAGCTGAGAGAAGAGCCATTCCTTAATCTGGAAGCCAAGCTTCCTATTCATAGGCATGGGGGAGGGTTCCCTATTCTCATGGGCCGGAAAGGCCGGTTGGGCCTTAAATGGGCCTAGCTTCTATCCTTTCGGCCCGACTGGCCGAAATAAGTCGGGTAAGCCTAAATGGGCCTCGCCGACTGGGCTATAAACAGTAATAGGCCGGGGTAATATATACTCCAACAGTAACAATTTAGATTAATATTACTAAAATAAAACTTATTTACATAAATATGATTATTCATTACTATAACGTAGTGTTGTGATAATTTATGTTTAAAACTTGAACATGAATTACTATGATATCATTATTAGTCTAGTAACTAGTCATATTTTTGTAAATCATTTTTATTTTGGTCATATTTATGTAATTATTTCAAAATTTATATGCATGATTAATTAATTCCTTTAAATATTTTTATTGTTATAAACACAGATCCTCCCTGTCCAGCCAATTCATATACTGATGTATATACAAAATAACTCGTATTTTTTTAATTCAAGTCGAATTCATGTAATCAAGTCAAGATCAAACTATGTTCGCCAGAAATTCAAAACAGTGCCACAATTAAATGTACAAAATGTACTTACTGTATCGATCAATAGTTTCGGTACTATGTATGATCAATGTATCGACACCAACAGTTTTGATACCTTAGAAAATGGTTGTACGTATAAGAAAAAATGTGTACGTTGGGATTTGATAATGTGTACATAGAAATCATTTATTTTAGTAATATTCTTTTAGTAATATTCTTGTAAAAACCAATCAATAAAATGACAATATATTTTCAAAACAAAAAAATGATAAAAGTTACTGTGTTCCGTTAAAATTATTTCATCTTTCCTTTTCTTTCTGTTCTATCTAATAAAATTGTCTCATACAAAATTTGATAAATTTGTAGGATTCTAAATCATTCTTATTTTATTTTTAATTTATTATTCAATATCAATCACATAAATTCATTTTGTTGAGCGTCAAGAGATAACTACAACAAGGGAAGAATGGTTTGCAAAATGGTGACAACTCCGATATCCATTTTAAAAAAAAAAGGTGTCTTACCTACCACTCACATGATTGATCCAAATCATTATATCATTTTTAATTTAGATTTAAATAATTCAACTGCAACATTTTCATTGGTCCAAGTAGACAAAATACGATAGAATCTACGTTACAAAATTGGCATTATTACACGTTAAACTCGGTGGTATGTGACTATGTGCGCAAATTATACCGTGGGATCGGCCCACCATGCACATGGTGTGCCGATCCCAAAACGACATTGTTTTATTAATTGAAAAAGAGACCAACTTTTCTGAAAAGAGAGAAGACTGGACGGCGACCTTATTTGCCGGTGTTGATGCGGTGTACGTCGCATATCCACGGCAACCATCCCCTGTTCGTAGTTATCCTACCCGGCTGCCCTTTTGTTTCGCCTACATAGATGACAGGTTCCTTCGTGTTTGTATGCAGGGCTGCTGCCGGTCTATTCACTCATCTTGGCCAACAAAATTGGAAAACATCCCACCAATTAAATTCATATATATAAAGAGAAGCAAATTTTTAAAGAGAAGCAACGAAGCAAATTTTATATATGGTGTGTATGTTTATATATTAATTAATACATGGAGTTATGAGTTTGTTTATTTTGATTCTTGAAGTTGCATTTGATAATATATCATGAAATTACATCTTCTTCTGCGCAAGTTACATCTTAATGCAAGCGGGTTACATCTTAATATACACAAGTTACATCTTAATGTATACGAGTTACACCGTGGAATAAACTCCAGCTATATCATTTTTATTGCCCTAATATTAAAAATAAAACATATTCACTATTTATAAAAAGTAATTAAACTATTAGGATCAATTTTTCATTGTTTACATTGAAATCAATGTTTATAATACCTCAAACAAAAAAAATCATTGTTCAATTTTTCAACAAGTTACATTCTGTATACACATAAGTTACATTTGTCATCAACGCGAGTTACATTGGTAATAACACGAGTTATTTAAAAAAATCAACACCTGCTATTGAATAAAAAAATGAACTTTTTTAAAAAATTATTTTTGATGACCATGATATTAAAAAACAAAACATATTCATATTTACCTAAATCAATTATGCAATTGGACTCTTTTTTTCATTATTTACAATGAAATGAATATTTGACAAATTACATTTTGGATGAGCTAGAGTTACATTGATGAATAATGTGAGTTACATATCTTTACACGCGAGTTACATCATCTATGTTACTGGGACAAAAAAAGTCACTGTACACGCGTGTACTGTTCACACGCGTACTATTCACCCAATTTTTTTTAAATTGCCCAAAACTATGTCGTTTTGAGGGTGGGAGCATGATGCTCATGGTGGGACCGTCGTATGTATACGAACTGGACTATGTGAGGGTCCACGCAGAGTACGACTCAATATACCTGGAGTGGGTCCCACGCTCAGTTCAATCCATCTGACATCGTTGAATTTGGAGAGGACCCAACTATCTACGCCTGAGATCTCTCACCCCCTTCATCTCCAAGTTGCTATCCACCATAGCTATTTATTAGCTTCTCATTGTCCGTACACTGCCAGAGCTACTCTTTCATGCTGGAAAAACTATTCAAATTCCCGATCAAAAAATTTCCAAAACTGTCAACTCTCAGGAGCGCTAATGCATCTCATCTGGTCTAAGTGTGCGTAAAAGATAGGAACTTTGAGATACTGTGAGGTTAGGGCTTTGCAACCTTTCATGTTTTGGGCAGTCAACATAAGAAACTAACCAGCGGGGTGGGCTTATCAGGGTAGAGAGGAATCAGAGCATAGCTAGATTTCTTCAGACGCTTGGAATCAATCTAATTCATGTAAGCCTGTAAGAATACATTAAATCATTAGAATGCTCAGTCGTAAACAGGCAAACACGCCCCAGATCGACGGTCTCACCTGGTTAGATTTGTGTAATGCGTCCCACACTCTTAGAAAATTTCTGCATTCATATATATATATAAAGCTTTTAGAAATGGTTATAGTTTCAGAAAGTGTTGGAAAGTGATTGTGTTGTACGGGTTATATTGTTTTCATCCTTTGCCTCTATGGTCAGTTGGTTGTGATTTGAATTGGTGATAGGATGATTGTCTCAGAAGATTAGAGTGTTAAAATTATGTTCCTGAAATTCGTTTTTGTTTCTTCACAACTTCTAATGGGATTGTTACAATTTGGTTGTGGGGTGATTCATCATTCATTGTTGAGTGGTCATTAGTCAATTTGCTTGCAAACCACTACCTAAGCGAGCAAAATCTACTAGTTAATGAGTTGATCGAGGGTTAAATTTGACATCATGTGGTATCTGTCTATACATGACCCCCTCCCTAGAGTTAAAGTTGCCCTGACAGTTAGTTCTTTACTGCTTCATCTAAATATATTTCTACTGTAGAAATCAGAGTAAATTATGATCCTAAAAAAGAGACATTTATGTTCCAAGGGTTCTGATATATGAGGCATCTAAACTTATTCCTTTGGAGTTGAGGGTAAATTCATCCTTTATTAGTTAAGAGTTTAGTCATTGAAAACTATTTTTTTACTAAATTATTAATAGAAGCAAACCATTGTCTATGCCTAGACACACATACGTCTGTTGGTGCCTGCATGGTCAGGTATGTACGAGTGTGTATGTATGTTGGTGAGCTATTAGGCGCAGTTCATGACTTTATGATTGAGTTACTGTAGACTTAAAGTGTAGGGTGCATACACAGATCAAACGAGGTGAGTCCATTGACCTGGGTGTGTGTATACCTATGACTTCAATCCATTTTGTAGCCTCAGTGTCCGAGGAAATCTAGCTAACCTCTCTGGCCTTTTAAGTCCGCCCGGCTGGTTAGTTTCTTATGTTGAATGCTACACCCCTCACCACCCAAAAATGACTTTAAGGTCTTTTATTTTGGAAAATTTCCATTTCTTGTTGTGTCCATGCAACTTAGAATCTGAATTAGTAGATCATTAGAATCTGTATGTGTCCCTGCTGTAATTAGTTTCAGAATATGTTAAAAATTATATTTCGCAATAAAACTATTACAGTCAGTGATAGATTTTCTTTTGGTTTCTTTTACAAGGACCTAGCTGTGAGTGGTGAGCTGCATTAGTAATCCTGCAATGGCTTATAATAATACTATTAATTCTTCAAAAGTAGAGCCAAAACGTTCCCATCAGTGGTTCATGGATGGTATTCAGCCAGAGTTACATCCCAACAAGAAACAAGATGTTGATACAACAAACAATCAATCATTCACTGCACTTCTAAATTCAAATATCTTACCCTGGATGAATGTTTCCCATTTGCAATCCCTACCACAGCAGTGCTCTGAGAGCCTTTTAGATGGTGGTGTGATCAGAGAAACCATCAGCTATGATGACAAAAATGTTATGCCAATTGGCTTTGGCACCAAGAGCATGCCTACAATGTCTATGGAGGGTTCCTGTGGATACGATTCTTCAATTGGTTTATCGATAGTGTCTGAGAGGATGGAGCACCCTAGTTTGAGCATAAACTATAGAGGGATTGGAAAAGCTAAAGATAAACTCATGCCTGTGACAATGGGTGATAACTTTGCCATGGGAGTTGACAGCATTGTGGCACCAGCTGGTGCCATGGCATCATCCATGGGACTCTCTTTCAAAAGATCTTCTGCCAATATGATGTCATTTGGAGACACATATCATAGAGAAGATAGTAATTTTCTATCTGCGCGTCAGCATCTTATTGGCAATAATAAAATAAACACTGGTGAATTGATAGGTAGCTCCAAGGAGAAGGATTATTATATGTCAAATAATCAATCTTTTTTCAATAAAGACAAAACCAGTATTGCAGCGCTTGGTCAAACCTCCAACAGAGAAGATAGTAACATCACATCAATGAGTTTCAATAAGACACCTAACTGCTTGACAACAACTGCGAAAGTTGATAACAATAATATTCTAATGAGTCACTCTTTCCGCAGAGGGGAAGGCCACAATATCATATCATTTGGTGGGTTTGACAAATGTGATGATGATGCTTTGGGGAAAATATCAGAAAACTCAAGTGAAAAGGGGTTGGGTCAATCTAATGTAGATATACTTGAAGACACTTCCCCAACTGCTGCTGTAATAGGTGTGGCTGATTCTAAAAAGGATGAGCAAAAGGCAAATAAAAAGTCTTCTCCAAATAGTTTCCCTTCAAATGTTAGGAGCTTACTGTTAACTGGTATATTTGATGGAGTTCCGGTTAAGTACATTGCATGGTCACGGGAGGTATATTTGACTTTTCATTATTATTTCCAATTTATATATCATCAATTGACAGTTTTTGCACTACATGTTAGAAGGAGCTTCGTGGTGTTATAAAGGACACTGGCTATCTCTGTGGCTGTCAGTCATGTAACTTCTCCAAGGTTGCTCAACTACCAAATTTTTCATATCGGGATTCTTATGCGTGCTTTGATTTTTTTTATATTCTCTAACTCTTCATGATGTAGACAATTAATGCATATGAGTTTGAGCGTCATGCTGGCTGTAAAACAAAACACCCAAATAATCACATTTACTTTGAGAATGGGAAAACAGTTTATGGGATTGTACAAGAGCTCAGGAATACACGGCAGGATTTGCTGTTTGAGGTTATTCAGACAATCTCTGGTTCCCCTGTTAACCAAAAGTCTTTTCATATCTGGAAAGGTTCGTTAGTGACTTGTATATTTTGTTTTTATTCTAATTTGTTTTTGTGATTTGTGTCATTCTGTTAGGGGCCCGGCCCAAATAGAGTATAATAAAAATAAAGTCTAGTATAAATAGAATGGGCTGGGGGGAAAGGGAGGTAGGCTGTTTTGTAGACTTTGACTTTGGGACTTTGGGAGATCGAGAACTATTCTCTTTCTTTGGGGGGCTTCGGCTCATTGGGGGCTTCGGCCATTCTTGTTACCGATTCATCGATAATAAAATCTTCTTTGTTTTCTTGATTCTGTTTTACCATTTCTCTGTGGATTGTTGTGAATTTCTGGAGGATCCTATCAATTGGTATCAGAGCGTGTTCGATCGCTGGATGAGATATACGCGCGCCAAAATGGAAGCCAGAATGAATGAGGTGGAGCGAAGCATGGTGGATATTGGAAGAAATCAAAGAGAACTGCAAGAGCAACTGGATCGGAGGATGCGTGAATTGCAGAGTAACCTGGCGGACAACCTGGCCGAGAAATTGGCCTCGATTCAGACATCGATGCAAGCGACGATGCAAGCGAACTTGGCGGAATTTCAGAAGAACCTCGCTAGTCGATCGCGAAGCCTCTCTCACCGATCATCTGCATCGCATCGATCATCTACCTCGCATCGTACTTTGCATCATCACCATTCGCCGCACCATCACCCTTCGCATTACCATCACCAATCGCGACATTCAGCGAGTTCTGAGGAATCAGAAAGGAATGACAACTATTCACCACCGCGTCGCCACCATCCTCGTTCACTTCACCATCATCGTTCAACTCACCATCATCGTTCGCGGCAGTCAGCTAGTCCAGAGGGATCGGAAAACAATTCCGACTATTCTCCTTCACGTCGACATCAACACCGCGATCACCACAGGTATCATCGATATCATAAACCGATAGGCAGAAAGATTGATTTACCTCTTTTCAAGGGGGAAGACGCCTTCGGTTGGCTGGTTAGAATGAACCGATACTTCCGCTTGAATCAAACTGAAGAGGAACAGAAAATTGATGTTGCTGTAGTTGCTATGGAGGACCAAGCTCTGAGCTGGTTCCAATGGTGGGAAGGCCAAGCACGACACCAAACCTGGGAGCAGTTTACCAGAGATTTAACTCAGCGATTTCAGCCTGAAATGGTGCAGAATCCTCTGGGGCCGTTGTTTAGCTTGAAGCAGAAGGGAACCGTGGCAGATTACAGAAATAAGTTTGAAGTGGCCATGGCATCACAAAAGCATCTAACTGAGGAAGTTTTGAGAGGAGCATTTCTAAATGGTTTGAAGCGTGATGTTAGGGCTGAGCTGAAGCTGCATTCTGCCAGAACATTAGCAGCAGTCATGAACACAGCAACAAGGATTGAGGACAAGAATTTTGAAACCTTATATGTCAAGAATAAAGAGGAGGAAAGAAAGAAGGTGCAGAATGGAAATCAGAAATGGGGAGATGGTTGTAGAGGGAGTTCTAGCTACACAACCAAGAATTCATCTGGCAACTATTCATTTGATGATATGAAGAAGCAGGAATCTTCAAACTCAGTTCAGCAGATTACAAACCCCCGATTATCACAAGAAGAACTGCTTGAAAGAAGTAAGAAAGGACTATGTTTCAAATGCGGAGAGAATTGGGGAAGGGGACATGTGTGCAAGATGAAAAATTATAAGATAACCTTAATGGAGCAATCGGAGGGTGAAGTTGATTCTGAATTTGAATCACTGGAAACTGGCAGGGATAAGATCACACCTCTAGAATTGAAGACCATGCAGTTTTCTTTAAGTGATGAGAAAGAGATAACCCCTGTGAAAATCTTTAAGGTGAGAGGTAAACTGAAATGGCATGAAGGTGAAAGCACAGTAAATGTACTCATTGATGGAGGCGCTACACACAATTTTATGTCCTTAAACTTGGTGGAAAAGTGGAGGATTCCTTATACTCCTTTTCAAGGGAATAGGGTGCAGTTAGGGAATGGGGAATGTATTCAAATTGGTGGCAGGTGTGCAGGTATAGATTTGAATGTGCAAGGAATTGGTATTCATCAAACTTATTACTTATTGGAGCTGGGGAGCACGGATTTAGTCTTGGGAATGGACTGGCTAACAAGTTTGGGAGACACGGAGATTAACTTCCAAAGTCAGACCTTCAAATGGGAAATACAAGGGCAGAAGGTGATTCTACAAGGAGAGGACTCATCTAGTGAACAGAACGTTGAAGGAGGAAGTGTTCAAAGGCATGAAGTAGCTGTCCCCGATGTTACAGCAAGCTGCAATTGGGTCTTCCAAAAACCTGCGGAAATCCAAGTTTTGGATCAAATTTTCTGGCCTCTATGGAACTATGCTGTGAAATACGTAGAGGGAAAGATGGAAGTAGTGAAGCTAAAGGCCCAGCAGACAAATCAGTATTGGAGAGGAAGGGGTGCTAGGATGAAAGAGAAGATAAAGACTGTGGCTGTGTCCTATCACCCACCTTGAGGGCAAGGTGGATGTTTAGGGGGGGAGAATTGTTAGGGGCCCGGCCCAAATAGAGTATAATAAAAATAAAGTCTAGTATAAATAGAATGGGCTGGGGGGAAAGGGAGGTAGGCTGTTTTGTAGACTTTGACTTTGGGACTTTGGGAGATCGAGAACTATTCTCTTTCTTTGGGGGGCTTCGGCTCATTGGGGGCTTCGGCCATTCTTGTTACCGATTCATCGATAATAAAATCTTCTTTGTTTTCTTGATTCTGTTTTACCATTTCTCTGTGGATTGTTGTGAATTTCTGGAGGATCCTATCACATTCAAGAAGCTCATTCTTTCCTTAGAATCATTCCTTGCTGCTACACAAAAACTTCAGAGGATATACGCAAAAGGTGAATGACGAGATATCATATTGAAATAGTAGCAATCGAAATGAAAAGGTATGTTAAGCTACCAAATCTTCCTTGATTTCTGTAGCAAATAAAGTGTGTAATAAACATTACATAATTTGAGGGATGGATAATCCAGCCTTCCAGGTTGCTCCCTGCACAGTCGTAACCAAGGTTTTAAATAGCGGTAGCGGTATCGGTCATAGTGGTAGCGGCTAATGCAGCCTCTACGATGCATATAACGGTCGCTGCGGCGTGAAATATTTTCAAGTTAGCAGAAGATAGGAATATCATGATTTATTGTATTTTTTAACAGATCTATTTAACAATGCTAGCAAGTTGATTTAAAGCAAACCAAACAACATTTACACATCACCCACCCCATAATTGAGTATAGTTGACTGCATGCATGCATCATTCACGCATTTGGGACTGGAGTACACCGTTGGGGTCGTGATTGGAATTCACACCGCAACAGCGGCTTGTAGCGGTAGCGGAGCCTACCGCAACCGCTATATAGCAGCCGCAATAGCTGTAGCGGACCGGTATTTAAATCCCTAGTCGTAACAATTTATGTTTCATGTTTACATACACTTGATTGATTGTACGTGAAATCTACTCTATACAAATGTGTTTTCGAGGGATTTTTTCAATTTCTCTTCATCCCCCCAGAAGTAGTATGCCGCACATTTGATGAGAACTTAATAATTGTAAATACATAAAGTAAATCTTACAGCCTGTCTGATATGGGTTAATTTGGTTGAAAAGGAAGAAGTGGTTAAACTTGCTGAAACTGTGGCTATATCCTATATTGATTTAGTTTACTTAATTATCCAGTAATGTAAAGAGTTTAACTTAAATATAGTAATGTAGTTAAAGAATACAATATCAGTGCTGTTTTAGTGTTTTTATTCAAATCAGCGGCTTCTTAAAACATGGAGTACGCTGTTTCAATGTCTCTCATATCTGACTGAACTGCTGGTTTTCATGCTCTTGCAGCGTGGAGAAAAGCAATAAATTTGACACGTTTAACAAGCCGTCATTTGTCACTCCGCCAGGAGAATTATTGACTTTTTATACCCGTAGTACCCCCCCCCCCCTTTGTTGTTGTTGACTTTATATCCCTTGGCTATTTCCATGAACTTTACAGGACATTTTGCAAGTGATATTCTGGGGCAACATGGTGCAGAAATGAGGATTTTCCATGCAATTTGTTGCTACTAATGTAAAAAAAAAAATCTTTTTTCATTATTTTAATTATTTTTTTACTAAACCATGAAAAGCATTTATGCTTATCCTTTTTTAAGCTAGTTATTATTTGAATGTGTAAATTTCGTCCTTGATAACAAATGGATGTAAATTTTGAGACTTGAGTTATGATTTTGTACATAGCTTCATTATGTGCATCTTTATTTGGATGCTGCTTTCGTTTTGGTCGGATCTTAAAAGAGGGTATTTGCCATTTTAGGTCCCCGATTATTGTGTCATTGACACTTTTGGTACTTGACTTTTAATTTTTTAACTTTTAGTCATCGACTATTGTTCTAGGGACACTTTTAGTCCTTGACTTCACAGTTTTCCACATTTAGTCCCTTGAATATTATCAAATTATCGAATATTATAAAGTGTTTTTCAGCTTTTGGCTTAAAAAAATTTGAAATGAGTGTTTTCAAATGACAGCTTCTGCTTAAATTAATCACTTAAAGCTAAAAGCTGGAAGCAAGTAGAAGGGTGTTTTAAACTGCTTTTCATGTTTTCAATTACACAAAAAGCACTTATTTTATCAAACACTACCAACTTTTATTTTTTCAGAACCACTTTTTTCTCCAACACTACTAACTTTTACTATTAACTTTTACTATTAATTAATGTTAATTAATTAATTAACATTAATGGCGGTCCGGGTCCGGGTGGATACCCGAACCGGGGTGTAGGGCGGGGCGGGCTCGGTGCTTACAAATGGTGACCCGGCCCGGCCCGGCCGGGCCCGGGTCTAACGGTCCAATTTTTAAAAAAAAAAACTTTTGGGGCTTTGGGCTCAAAAGAGCCGTTAGGCTGGGTTGGGACATCCCAAACGGCTATATAGCCGTTTGGAGGGTGGTAGGGGGGGTCCGGGCCAGTTGGGGGGGAGGGGGGTGGGGTAAAAAAAACCCTATAAATACTCCTAATATTAAACATTTTTCCACATCTTTTCCAACTCTACCTAAATCCTCTCTACTCTCTATTCATCTTCATCTTCTTCATCTTCTCAACGATGTGCATGTCATGTTATAAATTTATGTGTGCAAGACGGTCTAAAAGCGTTAGGAGATTCTTTGGAGGTGGTCAAGGGGGGGATTAGACATATTTGGGGTAATGGTCAACTCCCTCTCGGCGCGTCTCTCTGCTTCAACATCCGTTTACACCATCCCAGAGAGCCCTTGCAAGGAGCGCCATGTTGATCTATCAGGATATTTTGACTAATGATGAACTTCTCTCTGATTCATTTCCTTACAAGGAAATTGAGAAAGGACTGCTATGGGAAGTTGAGGGAAAGTGGGTTGTTCAAGGAGCTGTTGAGGTAGATATTGGAGCGAATCCATCTGCAGAAGGTGGCGAAGAGGATGAGGGTGTGAATGACACTGCCACTAAGGTTGTTGACATCGTTGATACATTTAGACTCCAGGAACAAGCCACCTATGATAAGAAGAACTTTGTTGTATATATGAAGAAATACATTAAAGCAATATCGGGTAAGTTGACTGGAACTGAACTAGAGGAGTTCAAAAAGAAAATTGAGCCAGCAACCAAGTACCTGCTTGGAAAGCTTAAGGATTTGCAATTTTTTTCCGGCGAGAGTGGTACAGATGATGGCAGTCTTGTGTTCGCTTACTACAAGGAGGGTGCCACTGACCCTACATTCCTCTACCTTCCCTATGGTCTGAAGGAGGTTAAGTGCTAAGTGGTTGATTTTACCTGTGGTGTGTTCAACGAGAACTATATATAATCTATGTGTTTTCTTGTAGTGCTAGCTCCTAATATTTGTATTTTTGTGTTTGTGTGATGGGATTCTCAAAGTATCTGTTATGTATTTGTATCTTTCATTTTTGAACAAAAAAAAATGGTCAACTTAAATTAAAATGACAAAAATATGTGATAGAAAGAGGTGAGAAATATGTGGCTTTTCCTAAAGATTTGTCTATTCGTTGAAATAGTACTTATAAGTTAATTAAAGTTCTTCTTAGATATAAAGAACAGTTTCCTGCTTTTTTAAAAGAATATGATAACTATATGATAAACTTGGCTGAGATCGACACCTGTGAAAAAATTTGCAATGCTTTGGTATTTTTTTTAATGCAACTCAAAGTTTTAGTCATGTTTATAAACCTACCTCAAACCATTTTATTCGTGAAGCTGTTAATCTCGCCGGTGCTTTTAATGAATTTGAGACTGCCGATTACGTGAGTTATTTTGCTGAATCTATGAAGGAATTTTTTTAAAAATATTATGCACATATTCCGCATATTTATGGTATTGCATTTGTTCTCGATCCTCGTTTTAGACTTGGTTCTTTAGAAGAATGTTTGAAGTATTATTATCTTGCCTTTTTCGTCCTTTTCCAATGTATTACGAAGGCTCAATAGATTGGAAAAAAGAATACAACGAGGTTAGTGAATTATTTTATGCCTTATTTAATGAGTTTCATGCAGAATATGGAAACGCGCCTCCTCCCCCGGCCCGACACAAACATCTTCATCTAAAGGAAAATCAATTTTTAAATCTACATTTGTCAATCTTATGAAAAAAACTAAAATAACTCCCGCTACTCAACAAAGCACAATTAATGAGATTGCTTTGTATTTAACTTATGATGTTGATTTTGAAGAAGATGATGAATTCGACGTTCTAAACTGGTGGAAGGGAAAAGAAAAAATGTTCCCGGTTTTAATAAAGATGGCTAAGCAAGTGCTATCAATGCCGGTTTCAACAGTTGCCGTGGAACAAAAATTTAGTTCGGCCGGCAACGTCCTTACGCAATCTAGAACGAGCTTCAGCGCGGAATCTCTTGAGACGCTTATATGATACCGCGATTGGTTGAAGGCGGGCCCGTAGAGCTCAAGAAATGAGCATCGCCCCCTCCCAACACTTTATGGATGAATCAACAACCGATGGTGGCTCTACCTATGCCGGAGATTCCGATTGATTAGTAGTATTTGAAAATTTATTATAAAATATATTTCATGTTTTTAATTTATCCTTCAATTCTCAATTGTAATTTGTATACTTGTAGTTCATATTTCAAATAAATATACGTTCATTTTTGTATATGTAGCACTTCTCAAATTAATTATTTGATTATTAATTATGTAATTATATTATTATTTATTACAAAATGTATTTCATATTTTTTTTCTCAATTCTCGAATGTAGTTTCTATTTCAAATAAATGCACTTGAAGTTTGTTTTTAATATTCATCACTTGTATCATTGTATGAATAAGTAGCAAAATAGGAAGAAGAAAAAAATTATACCTGACCCGACCCGGCCCGGCGGGTAGCCCGTCCCGCCAGGCGGGTGGCCCGGCCCGAACCAAAACCGGCTGAGGGACGGACCGGTCTCGGGCCCTAGTATTCGGAACCGACGGCCCGACCGGGCCCGACCCAGCCCGAGTCCAGCACTGCTATTAAGTACTTTCTTCAAAATCACTTAAAAAATTTGGAGATAATCTGGATAATACTTTTTTCTGGATAGCCTGCACACAGATTGTGATTTCTCCAAAATCACAATCTCCAAAAAAACAGTATTATCAACTTTCAGGCAGAGATACTGCCAATCTGCCATTTAGAGGGGAAAATTCACCTATAATACGTTGGGATGTATTTAAAAATAGCCTCTAGTCCACGTGCGATAAATGTCCGTCTAGCTCTCTTACATTGGGATGGGTACCAGACCGGTGATGAGTTCCCAACCTCAGTAACGGACCAAAGGACCTAGACCAGGTTCCGGTCTGGTAAGCATGCACCAAAATTTGATGGATTTTTATATTGAAATAGTAATTACAATTTGACTTGACACGTTGTACGCAATGAAATGGTGTCACAGGTGTTTTTCATAATGTTTCAATATTCTTGTACAAATGAAGTAGCAAACCATTTACAACAACTACTGTAAGATTGTGATGTGGTGAGCCCCGCTTGACTTCATTGAGATTTATGAAATATTGAAACAAATAAAGATCCATAAAGATGAGTGATATAGCTTTATATACTAACAAAACATACTTTATGAAAAATTAACAGCTGCAACATAATGCAGATAGTTGATATAGAAAGCAATTTGATGTTTAACAGAAAAATATGCGAATAAAAATTGTCAAACAAGATTAGTCCCTCCCTTGCACGAAAAAACAGCCACCTTGAGGTTGTATCAACAACTATCATCCTATCAGCAAGCAGCTTACTAACCACAGCAAGCTGATTTTTGAGCTGCAGCAGCTGCTCCCTCTGCCTGGTCTGCTTGATTAATCTTGAGAGTCTGAGGCTGAATGTTTTAAGTAAAGACGGGTCAGTAAGCAAATATTGAATGAGTTCTTAGAAGCATGAAATATAATAAATCCCTGTATAAACCGAAAAAAAACAAGAAAATATAGAGAACCGGAAATACATAATTGTTAAAAGGTAGATTCTATGGTACCCAAAAGGTATCATACCTTTGTCTACTTGGACCAATCAGATATTTACAGTTGAATTATTTAAATCTAAATTAAAAGTGATTTAATGATTTGGACCAATCATGTGAGTGGTAGGTACGGTACCCCATTTTTTAAATGGGTACCGGAGTTGTCACCTTGTTAAAATGCATTACAGGGAATGGTCTCCACAACTGAGTGAAGGGACACATGTTTTTGCTTTTAATTGGATTAGTTAGGTGGTGAAGTTTCATGGATAAATCAAGACAATGGGAATAAAAATAACATGTTAAAAAACAAAGTCACAAAAAAAGTCCATATTAGTACCTCAGCTTTTGAGTCGGACTCGGCTAGCCTTTGCTTGATATCCCTAGCTATCGAAAAGAAGACTTCCTCAACATTCATATTCGTCTTGGCACTCTACATGAAATTGTTAGCATAACTTAGAACAAATGCTATTAACAAAAAACTCCATGAAACCCATGATAAATGCTAATACCCACTGTCTCAAAGAATTTTATTCCATATTCATCAGCTAATGCTTGACCCTTGGAAGTAGGAACAGCCTGGAAAAGGAAGGCCGGTATCAATTCATTTATAGCACATAGAAAAGGGTAAGTAACGAATTTAAAAGAAACATGTATCAGAAAAAATTGAGTTTGTGTGAGCACATAGACATAAGCATGTGAAAGCTAATAGCTGAAATGATGCATCACCCTTTTGCTTTCATCCATATCAGCCTTGTTTCCAACGAGTATTTTATTGACATTGTCTGAAGCATGTTGTTCAATGTTTCGAATCCAGTTCCGGATGTCTAGGCATAAAAAAATTCCAGTAATCAAAAAAAGTAAAAAGACAATCAAGTAACATCACAATATCTTGGAGGGGGGTGGAAAGTAAATCCTATAAGGGGTTTAAGGGATAGATTATTGGTTGATAGGCTTAAGTATATAAGAGAGCTTCAATTCATGAATAAAGAAAATTTGAAAGCATAGATTGTCAATTACTGTTAAAGGATGACTCATCAGTCACGTCATAGACCAACAAAATACCCATTGCTCCACGATAGTAAGCTGTATACCAGAAAAAACACAATAAGATGACTCACATTTAAGTAGCAAGTAATGTTTGCCAAGCAGATAAATGAGAAAACAGTGGAATGAAGTAAAATAATCTGGCCACCTGAAGGAAGCCTATTAGATTTTATTTATTAGCGTATCATTTTCTAAGATGAGTTTTTATGTACAGCAGTAGCTCAAAACAATTGCAGCATAATCCATCTGTTCTCTGGTTACAATTTAAACTTCAGAACTCTTTTGAGATGATATAAAAATTACAGTGTTTGATTAAAACACTCTTGAGATGATAGAAAAAGTAATGAAAACACGGCAAATAAGAAATAAGTTAAGTCAGGTGTTAATACAGAGGAATGTAAATGCCGACATACTCACCAGTGGTAATTGTTCGGAACCGCTCCTGACCAGCAGTATCCCAGATTTGAAGTTTGATCCGTTTTGCATCAAGCTCTATGGTCCGTATCTTGAAATCAATGCTGTAAGATGTTTATTCTTCAATACGAATACTCGCTTTCTTTTGAAATCAGTGCATGTTTGTTTGGTTTAGTATGTGAGCCAACAAAAATCTTCTATAATTTATAATAGAATGTTACTCTTCAACAAAGGTTTTCTTGTTGCCGATAACAATATATACATCTCGACAGTTAAGAATTTGAAATTTACTCTTTTCACTTTTCACTTTAAGTGCTCATACATGATACATATTCTACTTTGGATAAGAAGAAGCAAAGCGACGAAAAATAAAAGTCGAGCAAGACATAAAAATAAATACCCAATAGTGGTAATAAAACTGGTGGTGAAGGAACCATCTGAGAAACGTAAGAGAAGGCAACTCTTACCCACACCTGAAAATTCAAATACAAAAAGGGAATTGAATAAAGAATCATAATAGTTGCACTTTTGATCCCAGAATTACACACTTACTAGTGAATAGAAGGCATAGTCCTTGAGAAGTCATTTATGTCACTACTCTAGTAAGGACCATTTATGCCACTTCACTGACTTCTCAAGGACTAAAGATGCATGCACATCATTTCCACCACCCTGCTGACTTCGCAATGACTAGAAATAGATGCCTTATTTCTACAGAACTG